ATGAACCCGTGTGACGACACATCTGCCCAGCAGTGTTGTGTCCCCTGCAGACAGCAGGTGAAATTTGGGAAGATTTTGCAGCTGGTCAGTGGAAGGGTGGGGATGGTTTTCTCCCACCCTCGGCATCACCGGGATGCTCTGCTCTGAGCTCAGCATCCGCAGGGTCGGGAGGACCAGCAGCGCTTTGGTTCCCATGGAAACTCCGAGCATGATGTCTGGGGCTTTCAGTCTCAGAGACTGGCTGGGTGGCGGGGGGCTGGAGGTGAGACGAGGGGGCAAAGGGGAAGAAAAGCCAGGGAACCTCAACCTCCAGGGAGGGTGGCGAACAGCATCTCTTGACGAAGGGCATGCAATGGCAGGGTTTGGGGGTACCAGTGACCCTGCCGGCATCGCAGGTCCCGGAGCATCCTCACGGTGCTCGGCATGAAGGCAGGGATGGAAAGGACTCCCTTCTTCAGGGCAGTAAATGGTTAACAGCACACATCCTGCTCTGCATTAATCGAAGCCTGGTTTTGCTGTCCCGCATGCTGCCAGGGCTCCCAGCGGCTCTCCCAGCTCCCAGTCAGGGCTTGACATTTTTGGGGGTGTGAACGTGAGCTCCCGGCTCACCTCGGTGTGTGCTGTGCTGGGAAGGAAAGGTCAGCGCTGGTGATGGGCAGCTTAAACCCCAGCTGCATTCCTGGCTGCCTTCCTCTGGCGGGGAAGAGAGCTCGGGCAGGAGAAGGAGCAGGTTTTGGATGGAAAGGGTCTGGGGGGGGTTTCTGTGACCAGTTTGCTTTTAAACATCTCAATCCCAGCTGGGTAAGTAGCTCCTGGAGCTGCCTGCCTCCCATTTTTGCTGGTGGTCTCATAGAGCATCAAAAATGAGGTGGTGATGGAGGTCACCTTCTTGCTTGCCACCCAGAGAAAGCATCTGTCCACCCGTCACTGTCATCCACCACTTTTTGCAACCTCTGTCCCTTGTGATAGAAGATAGATTCGGTTTTAGGGAGACCTTCCCCCAGTTCCTGGGGACAGGGATAGAAATGGCCGGAGCTCAGCGTCTCTGCTGGGACATCCATGGGGGATGTGGTACCCGAGATGCTGGAGGGGAGATTCATGTCTCCTGAAAGTGGAGAAACAACCTCATCTATTAAAAAAAAAAAAAGAAAGATAAAAATTCCCTTCTCCCCATGCCCTGCGCCTCTCTCCTTTCGTTACTAGGCAACTGGTCCTTGATCTTTTTGTCTGTCTTCTTTCCTTTGGTTCCCAAGTGAAGTCATTAAAATGTCTGAGCGATAAAATTCATATTTCACCTTCTGCCTGTCTGGGGAAGGAGCCCCTGGGGCCAGGGTCCCTCGGGGACACCCCACGGGCTCTGTCTGGGCACAGATCCCAGCTGGGGCTGAACACAGAGGAATGGGCTGGGGCAGGGAGCAGGTGGGATCAGAGGGGACAGAGCGGGTCGGTGCCATC